CCGAGGATGAGAGTTGCAGTATTTTGCATGTATCGGGAACTATTCGGAAGCTTCTTTACGCTTTCATGTGGTATCTCATATGACGTCATGTATCAACCACCTCCATAATTCTAACCCTGGGCTCCAACGCGCCTTCATGTGGGAAAGAAGAGATTCCGACCAGCCATGAAGGCGGCGATAGCAGTGGTTCTGGCCCTGTGCCTCTCTTCCATCCCCGTACTGCTGCTTTTGCGACACTACTTACCGCTTCGGACGACGCCGGCGTATCTCCTGGTCCCCGTGTTCCTGGCCCTTGCACTTCCCTGCAGCATTGTTTTTCTGGTGCCCATTGATCTCAGCCGTTCCAGCGATCCGGAACTCCTTGTTACATGGCGTGTCGCCTACTGGCTCACATTCGCCCTTACCTGGCTAATCCTTCCCATTCTCGGCGAATACTGCGACAGCGGCCATCGTCATGTCAGCGACCGCCTGCGGTACAGTCTACACCGAAACGCAAGGTACTACATGTACGTCTTTGGCGCTGGAGCTATAGGTCTGGTATATTTTCTCTATCAGAACGGCATGCATGTGGCCAGCGTCAAGGGGCTGGTTATGGCCCTGGCATATGCCTGGGGTTTGGTTTTGGCAATTGCGCTCATGGGTCACGGAATCGTTGCTCTGCCGCGAAAACTATTCAGAGAGGCTACTGTGGAGAAGAGGCTAGTAAAGGTGGAGTGCAGCGCTACCCAGGTAAAATCTCGGTTGAACGATGCCATTTCGGAGCTGGACAACACTGAACGGACTTTCCGACGGCTCAAGACTGCGCAGCTGCCGCCATCGTTGCGTAATTGGGTCGAGGAGGTCGAAATTCCCTACCAACCACCATTGCGCAGCGATCCAGCAATCCCAAATGTCGTGACAGAGGCCTATCTCGCCGAGTTAACTCGAAAGCTGAAACGTGCCCGATACAAAAAGGCCCGTAGGGCAGAAGAATGGAATTCCCTCCTCCAACACGCTAAATCCTACCGCGAGACCCAAACAAACTGCAACAAGTCCAAAATAACATGGTACATCCACATGCGCGCCCTCCCCGCCTTGCGGCTCTCCGCGGCATTTCTCCTGTCCCTAGCAGGTGCAGCCCTCATCTTCTCCGAAATCATCCAATCCTTCTCCCCGCGCCTATCCCTAATCAACCTAACCATCCCACGAAGCGGTCATCCCACCAAAATCACCCCCTGGGGCGAAGCCATCTCCGCCCTCTGGCTCCTCTACATGAACACAACAATTCTGTACTCCATGACGCGCCTCCGCATTTGGGGCAACCGCGCGCTCGTCAAGAGAACAACCTACCCCGAAAGCGCATGCTGGTACGGAGCTCAAATCGCCAAACTAGCCGTGCCAATTAGTTATAATTTCATCACCCTCCTTCCGCCGTCCGCGTACCGCGGAACTGCGTTTTATGGGTTTTTGGGGAAGGAAGTTGATCTTACTCCCCTCGGGGCGGCGTTTAGTTCGTTTTTCCCGTTGGTGTTGATTTTGATGGTTGCGGGGAGCTTTTATGCAGGGAGTAGAGTTGAAGGGGATGAGGGTGATGTTGAGGAAGGGATTTCATTGCTGCGGAGGGAGGGGAGACTTCTTATCGCTGCGGAGGGGATGGGGATGGCCGGCCCGGGGAGTGTGGATGAGGATGTTGAGGAAGGGGATGATTCGCCGAGACATTTCTATCAGGATCTTGCGTGGAGGGTCAGGAATACGCTTGAGTCGGCGGGGTGGACTTTACGTGTACCCGGGAGTGTGAGGTTATGAGATGAGTTTTTTGTAGAGTAAGATCGTAATGAACATGTAGATAACTCTTGCTGGGGTAACTTTGTACTTCTTTCTGGTGTCGCGTCTAGCAATTACACAGAGCGATAGAAATGTCTTTTGTACACGGTGTGTGCGTTATCTTTAATTGAGGAAGAAGCTGTAACTCAACACTGGCAGAATAACTCCGTCTTATTTCCAAGGCGCACCCATGAGTTGGGTGCGCAATGGCATGGATAGCGCAGCATCCTTTTGGTGAAGTTTAAAGCTGTACGTGAAAGCTTCATCACGAAATTTTAATCCGAAGCCCGGTCGAACTGCCATAAGAACTTTTGAAGAATACTGAAGGTACAAGCTCCGCGCGGCTGTAGCGCAGTGCAGCGACGCTTATTTGATTGTCAATTTAAGTTACAAATTCCAAGTGAAATTGTGTATGCTCGACCCTTTAATGAGTTGCTGTTCTGAGCTGGCAAGTTTAGCCCAATTGGGAAAGATCTTCCTGAGATGGTTCTGTGGAATTTTTTGGGGGGGTTGCGTATACATTACAGATGAAATTTGTGGTGGATGGTCAGAGTATATGCGTCATGGGATTAGAAAACTTTCATGCCTGTAGACAGTCTTTGGCTGGTTCCAATTTCATGCGAGCTTGCATAGACAAGGATCAGCTTCTTACGAGATGTAATCCTGGTGTCTCCCTCTTCTTTGCTGCGAGTGTAGAGAGACATCCGGAAGCCTCTCGCATATAGCGTCCCAACACGAACAATCTAAACAACCAACCCCAAGCCTACATTGGAAATAACGGGGATTGCGCTTGTACAAGTACTATACTACTGAATGCCTACCTCAGAAATGTCCGCTTCAAATAAATGATAATCACCGCCAGTAGCGAGACGATAAACAGGCAGACGACATAAACCGCCATCGTGGGCGGCTGGCAGCGACGCTCTTTACGAATTCCGGCTTCTAATACAGTCAGCTCCACCCAACTATTCTCGTGCGCAGTTCGCCTACCGCGGACATACTTGTTGGTGAGCGGCATTGTAAATTGCTCACGTCGGCGCAAGAAAAGGCCCTGATCATTTGATTTTGGTAGTGGACTACCGATTTACAGGTAGGGATGATATTTAAAGCCACGAGGGAGAAGGCGCATGGGTATACACGAGCGGATCACCATTTTGATGGGGATTGGAGTAGGGTTTTCGGGGTTCTGTAGTGGGTGGAGGAAGGTAAGCGGTTGATAGGGACCTATACAGGACAAGCGCGGCGAAGCAGCCCGCGGGTTGATGTCATTGGTTTCAACCGTTCTGATTATTCACTCACCTTTGGATGTGAGAGTTAGGCTTGGGGCACTTGGCGGAGGCTAAAGGGTCTAGTTGAACTCACACCTTGCAGCGTGGTTTTGTCCCATCGGAAACGCTCTGTTATGGTATTTGGCACTGTGTTGGCTCCAGAGCAACTGACTCCATTGGGACAGCGAATTGGCTTTGCTGGAGCGTGGGGAGACGGTTCTACGGAATATTGAGTTTTTCATGGTGGGGGAGCCAGACCGAGCGAGCATCCTACCGGCCCCTTACCAGAGAGTCAGCATCTTTCAGCGAAGAATATCTCAGGACAGAGCAGCCCTTTCAATGTTGTTGAGAAGTGTCAGTGCCATACCTCGGCCTGACAACAAAGACCATGAAATGGAAAAATCCTGTATAGCAAAATGCTCAAAGAGCATGATAAAGAGGACAGTGGGGCAATGGAGCAATATTTGAAACTGTTAGAGTCAAGAAGCTACTAGTATATAAGCTCGCTGCTGAACAGCAGAGAAAATCATTCGAACAACTCAATCTCCAGAACGATTACGCTACGCAACAACTATCTTCCAATATTCAAAAGACTGGGCTCAATGGTCATTTGCGGGAACGAAAACATAGAAAACAGACAGTTGCAGGCAGTTCCATATCAAGTGGCGGGTCCAGTGGCAGCTTCTCCCAGATACTCAGTGAACAGCCAAAATTTCCCGAGCCTAAGCTGGAATTTAGGCGCGTTCCTGAGACGGCTATGATTCCACACGAGGCACACTTTGCATTCGGTTTGTGCTCCAATAAGTGCATTTCCTTTGATGGAATGACTCATCACCCGGTCGATTTATTGTTCCAACCGGCTGCTGGACTATGCACTCGCCGACAGGAGCTGCTGAAGTTGTGTGTTCTAATACGGCGCAATATACAGATTCCTACGCCTGGAGCCTATCGTCGGATCAAAGCCGATATTCTGGCATGGTACGAAATTGAATAGGCATCGTTCGACCTCGCCAGGAAATTCTATGTCTTGATTGGAATACTATTGGCACTGATGCCATCGGAATATTGGAATATCAGCCAGGTATCCACGTTCTTGAGGCCCGCCAGCACTTGTTTCTCGCCCTTTGCTGGGTCAGGCAATAAGTTGTATCAGTCGGACAGATGACCTTGTGCGTAGTCTCGTGGCGGGCACTAGACAGGTTGTCGGACTGCTCAATACTTGATCCAAATTTCCAGCATTACCTACCGAATGCTGTGACGCTCTTGGGACCTGGGCCTGGAGAGCATCTTAATACCTCTTAAGAAAATTATTACGCACTCGGTGAGGGTATTGCTCCAAAGCGAGGACTAGGGCATCTAGCAAGGGCAGTTATCCACTTGAGGCTTTGTATGCATTGCCAGCGTGGAGTAAAAAACGATTTCTTGGAATTACGAGAGAATGACACTTGGCAAGTGCGCTCATTCGGATGGAAGAATGAGAATTTTTCTCGTAATGCTCACATCCGACGCAAGGGCTTCTTTTGGTCAATGTGGGACTTTAAGAGGCCTGGCAGAAAACTACAAGTCGCTCGCTCTGTGTCACTGGAACGGCTGTCAGTCTCGATTTTGAGCTTTCCAACAGGCTCATTAAACGCTGTCACTGATTTTTCGACCTTTGCCGTGTATGGTTCAAATTTGTCCACAGATTTGTTCAATGAATTACATGTCTTTGGGTTTTGGTACAAGTTTGTGAATCAGTCACGCATTGATCACACCCAGAAATAATTATCGCCATTGAAACTCACAATCCTTGGGACCGCGTAACATTTGTCCTGAATCCAGTCTCATGTCTTTGGGCAGAGTGTATAAATCGATACGGGTATGTTGAGTACTAGCAAATCTAAGGACCTACGGTTATAATGTGCTAATTTAATCTATCCATCATGAAATGGTCAATTGGTCTAGTGGTATGATTCTCGCTTAGGGCTCACCCTACGCCAACAAATGCGAGAGGTCCCGTGTTCGATCCACGGATTGACCCTTCTTTTTTTTATTTTTAACCTTGTTCGAATTTTGATTTTGCAAGCCGTTCATGACGCCTGATGCGCGCGTTACAATGCCAAAGACGTTCACTTCAGCTTTTGGTACGAGCATCTTACGGTTGAGGAGGGGAATCGTTTGCATGCCACTTTTATGCCTTAGGCATAAACTTTCACCACGCATCTGAGCAACAGCGCTTTGGCGTCGACTTGATGACATTTCATGCTCGTTTAGACATGTCAATGCAAGAATGATGGCATAGTTTGACGTAAATGACTAGCGAAGAAAAAATTCGTGCTTTAATTTTTCGATGGCTCCTGACGTGACTATGTCAATTCGCCCAAAGAGTATTGGGCTGCGGCCAAGTGAGCCCATCAATTAAAGCCAGCTGGATCTTCGTGTTCAAGAATACCGCGTCAGCAAAGCATTGGCGCTATACTGTCAGTCATCGCTCCTGTGAAGCATAACTGGAGCGAAGCCAAGTTTTTTGCGGTTGTCAAGGTGTTTTTACCCTCCACGTTATTCGAATGATTTGTATGCATCCATGGCATTGTTCCCTACGCACTCAGTGACACTTTCCCGTCCGAAATATGCCCCTTATTCTAGTAGCGGACAGTGTCGCCATTGATGAGCCAGTTGGTCATTTTGCAAAACTCTCAACTCAATGCAGGGTGCCCCCTCGCTATCGTCCGTTCTTCAGATATGGTCAGCTATGCCTGTGCAAACGCCATGACGAGGCATACTGCGTACCAGCAGCTCTGGTAAAAGCACAACCCGCAAACTCAAGCACGAACACAAACCCCAGAGCATCTGTAAATATATCGAGACAAACGCCGCAGCGATCCAAAACTTGAACAAGGACATGGTTGGAAACTAGGTATTCTGCATCCCTCAACAATACCCAATCAAACGCCCTAATGAAATAAAACCAAATCCCCAATGCGCCGTATCACCCAATAGGAAAACCCCCAAATAAATCCCTCCATCCGACCATAGTTCACAACTTTTCATACACTCTCCCCAAACAAACTCCATCCTGCATCCTATCTCACAATTTTCATAAAATCCTCCCCAATCAGAACCCAGAAAACCATAATCGAAACAACAAGCATAAACTCTGAAAACCGCTTCGGCACGCTCGTCTTCCGCGGGCGTGTATTCTCCTGCACGCTCTGCCGCGTACGCTGTTGTTGTGCTTCGAGCTCGCTGGCAGTATCTACCATCGTGAGTAACTCGATCATCTCATGCCGTGGGCGGCGTACCGTAGATGAAAGGCAGCTCCTCTCTTTGGAAGGTTTTCTCGAAGTCTGCGAGTGGGGTTAGAACATGGCGTGTTGGTTAAGGGGATGCGTACGGGGTTGCGGGATGGGATAGCGGAAGGTTTTGCGAAAGGGGCTTGGGGGCATCTTGGGTTTGTGCACTGGTATGGTTGGTGTGAATCTCTGTTGTTTGAGTCTTGATCTGATGTTGAAGTGTGTGGAAGAATGGAGAATGAGGGTTGTATCACGGAATTGGGAGATGACTAACTGGACTGCTAAGCACTTTGCTTTAAGTTACTCATCGTGGGACAGGAACATTATATGGGTCGTGACGCAAGAGCTACTGCCAACCAGGGTATTGAACTTTAACAGAATGTTATACGTGATCGCTTGCAAAATACTCGGGTTCTACGTACTTGTTGGTATGAGTCAGACACTGATTGGATTAGCCCTTGGATGACCACTCTCATTTCTGCCATCCTAGGCCATCTGCTTTCACGTATCCGGATCTCCTCTTAGTTGCCGAATTTCATTCTTGATTTCCTTCATCTGTTGCAGGATCTGTGCGTTCTACTCAGTAAGGAAGCGCAGGTCAACAGTCGGCGGTACGGCTCCCAGACCCTCATTTACTGTAGCTCTACGAACCGATCCACGAACTGATCCACTAACCAATCCATGTACTGATTCACGTACCGACCTATCCGCAGAGGGCCGTGGGTTTCGCAGCCGTTTAGATTGCGCTTTAGTCGGACTCATGATCGACGACCTTTCATTCGGGGGAACATACGGACCGGCATATACCATTCGGCCCGTAGTGTCACATTCAAAATACTTCGGCCTTCGTCGACCGGAAACCGCACTGGGTTCGAAAGTCGTTAACATGTTCCGAGGGAGTGCACTGATCGAGTCGGTAGCCAGCTCAGCTACGAACGGTGACTCCGGAGATTGATGAGTTTGATTCAATGGAGCCGTCTTGTTGCTATCGTTGACCGAGATGAGATATTCGAAGTTGCCACTTGGTTAATCTCCATAACTTCACCATCAGCTTGTGGGTCGACTTGTCTGTTACAAGATAGTTGTCATCGGTAGAGTGGTGTTTGAACCCCTTGAGGTGCGCTCTTTTGTAGCGATTAGGCTCGCGTGGGCGAGAGTGCGCAGCGGCCCGAAGAGGACGAAGCGATAGACGGTAAGAGGGACAGGACAGATGCAGATGGATATGAGTCAATACCAGTTTCAATATGACAGTGTGAATGACTATAAATTTCTACGAGGGGACGTCAGAATAAATATTCTGTACCGGTGGGCCGGTGACGTCACGTCGTACACTAGCAGGGCGCATTCACCATGTCACGTATGACATGACCCTGAGGGAAAACCTCTGTGAGGGAAAAACCTAGGGTGCAGCTGGTAGTGTAGGAGGTATCGCTGACTTGCTATGCAAGTGCCCCGCATACGCGCTAGCGGCGATGCTTGAATTCAACATCTTTTTAGCTGCAATCGAAGGTCCACGCGCACCACCATCGTTTTTATGTGAAGTATCGCAAACTTCAGCTGCCTTCGCGCGCTGGACACGGCAATTTTTGCCGGTGCTGGATGAGGCTACATTGGTGGTATACTCATTAGCGTTGTTAGCACGCTTTTTGGACCTGATGGTCGCCATTACTGTTGATTAGGTGGAGTGGGACAAACTTTTTTAAAGTTTCCTCAGCAGGCTGTACCGCTGGCGTTGACGTGTGCGGTCAATCGCATTCGTATGCCAGCGTGGCAATGGGGATGCATGACTAAGTGTCCATCGACGCCTTCATTCACGGGTCTTCTAGGTTTTTGATGGTTGATGCTATCTAAATGTGCCATGCCGCAGAATTTCGCAAGAGATCCCAGACTATGATGCTCACAGCGAGTTTGAAAGAGCAGTGTTCTTCGACATCTCACCCTCTTGATGACATTTGATACAGCTTTGTCCTGGCTCTTTACCAATCAAGGTCGGTCTTTGCCTAACAAAGGATACGCCAAGGGAGTTTCCACTGAAATATCGATAGCGCAGCTCGGATAGGTCTCTACACAGATTATGCCATTCCCGTGATTACAACCATTTGTCCATTCTAAAGCAACGCGGGAAAGGAAAGGCGTGGAATTGCGAATTTTTCTAAGGGACTGCTGAGCACGGCAATGATTCGCATCGACTCCTGGTCCCATTTGCTCTAATGATAGTTGCAAAGAAGACGCAAGATTGAAATACTTCATTGGTCATTCGTGATGGGCCAGCAATACTTCAAGAATTACAAGGCGCTGACGATTGATCTCATGCGCGCTGAGTGAATGCAGAGGCGGCCCCGATATACGGATCGCGATGGCAGAATATGGTAGACGCTGGACAATATCTTTATGAACCAGGACCAGTCGCTGAAGATAGAAAAGCCAATTCTGGGAATTGCACGCCTTGTCAGAAGATGACAGAAATCCCGGACACATATGCCTTGAGTCAAATGATAGGACGCCTGGAGTACGAAGCCTGAATCAGGAACCTTCCTTGGAATCCATGATCTTGCTCCAAGGCGGAAATTTAGACAAGTGCACTTTGCAACGTGAACAATAGTTGTGGTGCGATCCGTTCTGGCTGACCAACAAACAGATCCAGGGTGGACGACTCCACACAAATACAAGTATGACTCATGGTTCAATCCCTTTTGAATCATATTTCTATCATTCATCGCTAACTTGCCACAAAATTTCAATCGTCTCGACGACGGCATCACAGGCCAAGTATCATCCCCATGATGTAGGAAAGCTTTTGAGTAACGGTGGCAGGTAACTGACAGCAATCCACAGTAAGGGTCTTGTTGAGGTCAAGCAAACGAAGCAGAATTCACTCTAGAGCAATACCAAGCAACTTCAATTATCAGAAAGCAAAAGGGACTCCGACCAGCAGGAGGTGGAGTGATTAAAGTCATTACAAGTTCTGAAAGGCTGGCTGAATCCGTGCTTTCCCACAAATCTGTTATCCAGAAATGAGCGACTCACGCAATTGCGAGGATGACAGAGTGTATCTTTCACGCTGATTGTGCACGTCGATAACAGGTTTCCAAAGAAACCTTTACAAGCTCAATCTATCACTGAGCGCACAACAAGGTGGACCGTGTAAGAAATGCAGTCGCTTGACTATTTCTTGCTACGACCGAGGGGAGGTCGATGATGCGATTTGAGTTATTCATCTACTAATTCTTATTGTAGCATAAGTTGAGGAGAACAAGTGCGACTATACCATCACAAGAGGGAAGAGAGTGAGTGAGTGAAAGAGCAAGCTGTACCGTGTCTGTACCAAAGAGTAAATATGCGCCGCATGGTGTCAGAGGATCTTAGAGGTTTAAACCCTGCGAAGCCTTGACCTCTGTATCAGGGGAAGTTTCCTTTGGGACGAGGTACGGTTCTATTCATGTTCAGTGCGTGCTAGTGACGTTGTCTCGGCGAATGCGTCTGAACCTGGGTTAGCGTGAGGTAATATTCGGCAGATAAAGTTCACCTCACCCCACCTGACCAACATGAATTACATTCACAGACATGCACACACACACACACACATTCAGCCGAGGTCGAGCGACCTAACACACTTACCTTTTGTATAGTCTCCACTTCCACCATCGGAGGCTAACCCTCCGACACATGGCACAAGTAATCAGTGTGTTCCGTTAAGGTTACTTGATCGAGGAAAGAGAGCGGAGATGGAAGAAGGTAACGGACCAGG